CGTTCCGGCTTGCCCTCCCTCCGTTTCGTTTCACCGTCCTTCCGTTCCGTTTTACCCTGTCTCCGTTCCAATGTATCTTCCGTCCGTTCCGTTTTACGTTATGACCCTCCGCTCCGCTCATTTCTGTTATATTGTTCCTCCATCCCGTGTCTCCCTGCCCTCCTCCACTCCGTTTTGCTAGCCCTCCGTTCAATGTTACCTTCCGTCAGTACCGTTATAGATTTCCTCACTTCCGTGCTACCCTCTCTCTGCTTTCCGTTTGGCTTTGCCCTCCATCGGTTCCGCGTTACGCTCCCCCCTTTCTTTCGGTGTTGCCCTTTTCCCGTTCCGCTATAGATTCCCAGCGTTCCGTCTTACCTTCCTGCCGTTCTGTTTTACCCTCCCTCCGTTTCGTTGTACCCTCCCTCCGGTTCGCTTTACCCTCCCATTGTTTCGTTTTCTCGTCCTTCCGTGCCATTTTGCCTTCCACCACTTCGCCTCCGTTCCGCGTTACTCTCCCTCCGTTTCGTTACACCCTCCCTCGTTTTCCTCTTCCTCGTCTTTGTTTTCTTCCTCGTCATCCTCGTCCTCTGTGCGTGCCTCCTCCTCCTCCTCCTCCTCCTCCTCCTCCTCCTCCTCCTCCTCCTCCTCCTCCTCCTCCTCCGCGAGCGGCTGCGATCTGCGGTCCTCGATCCTTACACACTAAGGTGACCCGACCTGGGCTCACAGGTCCCCAGCAGGCCACTCTTTAGGCCTGGGGGAAGCCTCTCTTGCGCGAGTTGCGAGTTGTTTAATTGCCTTCCTCCCCGCGCTCTGACTGGTGGGAGGGGTTGGCAGGTTTCCTTAAGGTTACGGGGGGCCCGAACCCTCCAGGACCCACACCTCCGACACCACACGGCACCCCGACAGAACGCAAGGTGGGTTTGGTGGCTGGGGTGGATATTCGAGCCTCCATCAGAACTACTCACACCTCCCACTGGCCGATATAGAATATGTCCGTCTGGTCGGTTGGCGGACGGAAGGGCATGCTGGCTGAAATCACGACTGCCCTGCTGACGGGCATGGAGGGGCTGCGGGCAGACACCATCTAGGCGCAGCCACAGAGCAGCTCGACACCTTTGCGTCCGCTTCTGGCACCTGCTGCACCTGACAAACTCACCCTCGAGAACTGGCCAGCGGGAGGTGCTTTCCAGGAGATGATTGAACGTAGCTTCGGATCTGGCCTGCCGTCGCTCTCTCTTGTAGTCGGTGGCCTCCTGCTGGACTGGGTAGTGCGTCCACCACAATATCTGCACTGCTGCGAGCCTCCCTCGGATTTGCTCTGCCAGCACATCCAAGGCCTCGACCCTTTGGGCGAGGTCGGGGGGTACGGCGGCCCGCGCAGCGGATTCATTGGCTAGCTCGTCGGCCTTCTCATGCGCGAGGACCGCCCAAGCTGGATATTTCGCCCGCCCCGCGGGCGTGGAAATGTGAGACTTGACTTTCAAGTAGGATATCGATCCGAGCACTCAGCACTGACCAATGCTCCTGCCGAAACCGCCAGTTGGAAGGTTATCTTCTACGGGGGGCCCTTCCTATGCCCTCTGGACAGGAACCAGTGACTAGAATGAGGTTCCCTTGGGTGTGGCGGAGGAGCTCTCTGGCCCCTTTTTTAATTCAACACTATTTTCATTTTGAAACCTTGCCACATTCCCCTGGACCGCATAAATCTTCAGACCACACCCATTCGCCCCATCCCACTCGCCTGAGGCGGGGATCCTTAGACCTGGGGCCCCCTGAGCCATCCACCGCGCCTAGCCGCAAACCACCGCTGGGCGCGGGGGGTCCAAGGAAGCCCCCGTCCCTTCAAGGCGGGGCGCTGGGGCGCTGTCTCTTCGACGGTTGCCAGGGCCAGCTCAGCTGGTATGAGACCTCGTAACCACAGACACTCTGGCTGATCATCTCCAATGGCCATGTCAATCAAGTCATGGGTTTCCTGGATCCGAGGGTGTCCTACTTGGAAGAGGATTGGGCATCCCTAGAATTTGTGCCTATCATCGCAGCAGTTGTCTCTGCAGATCGGGCAATCGCTGTCTTCCTGCAGGCCACTCTCGAATCGCCGTCGGGGGCTCCAAGCTGCGCAACTTCCCACGGCCTTGTGCGCCTTCGCGAGGTGCTGGTGCCCGTCGCCGTAGAGACGCTCGATCTGCCATCTGGAACTGCGAATGTCGACTCCTGCCTGACACCCGCTCGAATTGTGCCCTGTCTGGGCGGCACTCCAAATCTTATGTTGCAAAAAACTCTGGAACCTGCACATGAAATAGTCCTGCGCCTCGTGCTTCTCTGGTCGCACATCAAAGATTTCTCCAGCTGGCCCTTTCCAGGCCCACGCGGATCCAGGGTCTCACCCGAGGTCCAAGAAGATCCCGCTGACGGCGCTGAGGTGGCTTTGTGCTTGGTTTCATCTACGTCCCCCTTGGAGCCTCCTGACGATATGAGGCCAGGCGTTACTGATACCCTCGCGCAACTGCTGCTCGGTGTTGATCACCTCGAACCACATGTCCAAGAGCCTGACGCGCATAAAAATAGCTGGGTCCAGGGCTTCAGGCGGCATCTTCGCCTAATGTAGCCTTGCGGTGAGACAACTGCCTGGTTTCGTGACTCCGAGTGCTGATCCTGCTGCACGTCGGTGTAGATCGAATCCTGTTGGTGCAACTCCATGGCCTTCGAGTCCCCATTGTACCTGTGGCTGGGCACCTGTCCTATGGAGTGCTTGTGGACGTCTTTAGTGACCCTCAGGAGCCTCCTCATGTTTTTCGCCCGCTTGAATCCGAGACGCTGCCGAGCCCGACGGACCTAGAGGTACCTGCGCTTCCCCACCGTGGAATATAATCCGGAATCCCTGGTACTGAGTTTGTTCTGGAGGGGCATGCCTCTGGCCTGGCAGTCCGCGATTATCTGCGCTAAGATCTCGCTGTCCTTGGAGAGGAGGGCAGACTTGGGGGAGAGCATGCACCCCAACTCCTGGAGCCAATCTTTGAGGAAATGGATGGCCTGGGGGTATTGTTCCACCAGGGCCTTCTTGGAGGCCACCATCCTAGCACGAAGATCATCGACCCATGTCCTGAGCGTGAGCCGAGAGAACTGGAGGTGCGCAGCATGCAGCAGATCGTGCAAAAGAACTCGAGTCCACGCAGTACTCAGCCCACAACCTGCGAGAATACTGCCTTGCGGGGTGATGGGCTCACTGATGCCCATCTCTGTGGTCAGGAAGCGTGCTGCTAGATGCGTGAAAATACCAAGGCTTAGCTCAACTTTGGGATAGTCCGTCTCTCTGAGTTTACCCGCTAACTTGCGCGTGTTGATCGTGTCATGGAACGTTTCTAGGTCGAAGAACCCATCAACAACGGCAATATTGAGCACGCTTCCAATCTCTACAAAAAGCTCTGACATGATGCCTGCTCTTAGGCAACTGGATCCCTTGATCGCCGCATCCAGGTGTCCTGCCTTGGCGAGCTCCCATGACCCAATCATCCCCCTCCGAAGTCGAATGATCAAACGGTAGAGCGAGGCAGTGAACGTGATCGGTCTGTCCGAGCCCACCGTTTTGGGCTTGAAGACCGAAGAGGAGGAGAGGGAAACTGAGGAACCCAGAACTCAGGAGTTCCAGGATTTTGCTGGGAGAACGCTTGGGGGATTACAAAACAGCCAACTCTAAAGATCCGGGTTTTCGCCTCTTGGATTCCGGGTCCACCCTCTCTTCCGCCTCTCCTCCTTTTCCTCCTCCTCCTCCTCCTCTTCCTCGTCCTCCTCCTCCTCCTCCTGCTCCTGCTCCTGCTCCTCCTCCTCCTCCTCCTCCTCCTCCTCCTCTTCCTCGTCCTCCTCCTCCTCCTCCTCATCATCATCATCATCATCATCATCACCGTCGTCATTATCATCATCATCATCATCATCATCATCATCATCATCATCATCATCATCATCATCATCGTCATCATCTTCATTACCATCACAATCACCATCACCATCACCACCATCATCATAATCATCAGTCATCATCAGCATCATCGTCAGCATCGTCATCATCAGCATCACCATCACCATCATCATCACCGTCGTCATCATCATTACAATCGTAATCACCACCACCGTCACCAGCATCACCATCATCATCACCACCGTTACCATCACCATCACGATCACCAGCACCATCACCATCATCGACATCATCATCATCATCATCACCACCACCGCCATGATCAGCATCATCATCATCACCATCACCGTCACCATCACCATCATCAGCATTAGCAGCAGCAGCATCATCACCATGGCCATCGCCATCACCATCACCATGACCATCAACATCAGCATCATCAGCATGATCACCATCTTGATCAATACCGTCATCGTCATCCTCATAATGATAAGAATGATAATCGTCGTCGTCGTTGTCGTCAGCTCCATCAGCATCATCAGCATCATCATAATCGCCATCAACAACATTACCAGCATCATCATCATCATCATCATCATCATCATCATCATCATCATCGGCATCGTCATCATCATCATCAGCATAAGCATCAACAACAACATCAGCATCCTCATCATCATCAGCAGCAGCAACAGCATCATCAGCATCATCATCAGCATCATCAAAATCAGCATCAGCGTCAGCATCAGCATCGTCAGCATCGTCAGCATCATCATCATCATCATCTAGGGGGAAAACAAACCTACCTCGCTTTTGACCACCCTCGCTTCCAAGAGATACCAAGCGATGCCAAACTACGGCCTGTACTGGTCAGGCCGCTTGACGAGGAGGCGCGTGGTATGACTTGGTTTTGCCTGGAAGCGAAAGCGGGGTAGGTAGTTCACGCTATGATCATCATCATCATCAGCAGCAGCAGCAGCATCAGCATCATCATCATCATCATCAGCAGCAGCAGCAGCAGCATCAGCATCATCATCATCATCATCATCATCATCATCATCATCATCATCGTCATCATCATCAGCAGCATCATGGGAGGGAGGGCAGCGTCCCCGCGAGCTCCTGGTGCGCCCGCTGCCTGCGCTCCAGCTCCGCCAGCCTGCAGCGGGGGGGGCTGGGAAGACCGCTGTGTCCCAGCGCAGAGGAGGAGGCCGCGCAAGGGCGGGGCCCAGAGACGCGCACTGACATCCTTCAGGTCAGCGATCTGGCCCCTGAACCAACAGATGAGAAGGATTAGGAGGAGGAGGAGGAGCAGGAGAGAGCGACGGAGGAGGAGGAGGAGGAGGAGGAGGTAACGGTGATGACAGCCATGGGAGCGGAGCCAGGTAGGCCGACCACGCCCCGAGGAGGAAAGAGAGAGGCCCCCCCCATTACCCCGCCCGTCCGTCCGCGCGGCAGCCTCGAAGCAGCTGCGCACTGCCACCACGCCGAACAGAAATGCGTCGGGGGGGGGAGGCGACGACAGACGACGGGGGGGGAGGAGGCTAAACAAAACTAACCACTAAGCGGAACACCGTCTTAGGTCGTTTGCCCTCTCGAATGTACTTGGAGCCCTGGGACAAGGCTCCAGAGGTCGGGGGCTTACATATACCCCTAAGCTTAGGCTCATCCTGTGGGCACTGCAAGAACCACACGCAGAGCACAAGATACAAGGCCCGACTCTCTTCATCACATGTCCCAAGGAGGAGGAGGAGGAGGAGGAAGAGGAGGAAGAGGAGGAAGAGGAGGACGAGGAGGAGGAGGAGGAGGAAGAGGAGGACGAGGAGGAGGAGGAGGACGAGGAGGGAGCGACTGAGGAGGAGGAGGAGGAGGAGGACGAGGAACCGCTGGAAGAGGAGGAGGAGGAGGAAGAGGAGGAGGGAGCGACGGAGAAGGAGGAGGAGGAGAAGGAGCAGCTCCCCCCTCGAGGCAACGGCGGCGGCCTGCACGCCCGCGGCCCGCGGGAGCCCTGCGACGCCAGCACCACCCGCAGGTAGGCGCGCCGGAGCCTGGCCGAGCGCCCGCACGGCCCGTCCGGGTCCTTCGGGCGCTCTCCTCTTACTCCTCCTCCTCCTTCTTCTCCTCCTCCTCCTCCTCCTCCTCCTCCTCCTCCTCCTCCTCCTCCTCCTCCTCCTTTTCCTCCTCCTCCTCCTCCTCCTCCTCCTCCTCCTCCTCTTCCTCCTCCTCCCCCTCCTCCTCTTCCTCCTCCTCGTCCTCCCCCTCCTCGTGGCGGCGCACTCGCCCTGGGGGCCAGGGGAACTCTGGCGCCCTCCCCCTCGGCGTGCACCCTCGACGTGTATCATCAAGCATGACTTTCAATGTGAACCGTGTCTGGATCACATCAGGCATTCAAATGTTGTACAGACCCTTTGACATGTTCACCACCTCCAAGAGGTATCCCATAACAGGCGCATCTTGCCTTTACAAAGCTTTCGTCGTGCAGAGGGTCACTGGTTCCTTTCGCTGGAAGAGCGCCCTCTGTCTTCGCCCTCTCCACGGTAAGGCTTCGGATAGCGCACGGGCAGCTCACCCAGGTAGTCCAGGCTTCGCCTTAACAGGCCCCGAGTGGTCGCAGCTGGCCTCAACCATAGGGCGTGGAGCTCCCCAGCGGCGCCGCTGGAGGCGACGCCAGGGTGTTGAAACCACCCTGGACTTCTCGGGAGGCCTGTTGAGGCCAGCTGGGACTACTCAGGGGGCCTGTTGAGATCGGCCAGACGGTCTTGGAGCAACCCGAAGCCTTACCACCTCCCTAGGTCCCGCATGACATGACTTGTTCCAATCCGGACTTTGCTCCTCTTCTCCCCAAAGGAAGTTACCTGAAGGTTCGCTCGCTCAGTCAGTATCGGCCCGAATGCCGCGGCAGCGGTGCACAGGAAGCGCCCCGTGAATGAACAGAATCAAGAGGAGGAGGAGGAGGAGGAGGAGAAGAAGGAGGAGGAGGAACAGGAGAGGGATTGGGCTCCCCTGGCAAGTGAAGGCGCCAATCCAGACGTTTCTCTTCGATTTCGGCCTCTGACGCCCGATATCGGGCCAGGGGGCCATCAAGAATGGATCCAGGACGAGACGCCACCCCCAGGGAAGGGGTCGGGAGCTCTGAGACCGCGGATCGAACAGATCATGTCGTCGGAGATTCGGGGTCCTCCTCCTGCTCACTTCGCTCCCTCCCCCCTTTCATCAGCCCTGCTCCTCTCGGGCAGACCACGCGGGGGCAGGCCTGGCATGTCAGCGCGCATCAGCGTGCCTGGACTTCAACAGGCGGCGGTGGCAAGGGCAGGCGCGGCGCTTGCAGCCAGCAAGCCGCACCATGGGCCGCGACGCGGCGGAGCGAGAAGGCCATGGCCAACGAGACAGTCATACCGTAGGGGCTCGACCACAGGAAACCGTCCACAAGACACCCAACCCTGAGACCCCAGGACGCCCATCGATTTTTGATGTGGGAACGCCACGCTGTCCACCGCAAAACTATCGAAGCCCAAGAGACCCGGGGCACCCTGGAGGCGAGCGGGGTGTTTATTGGCATGGGCCTCCGCTGTACTCATCACTCCGTCCTCCTGGCAGCGCCCCAGCGGGCGACGGTCTGCCAGGCCCTGCGACGCACCGCTGCGCCGCTGCGCCCTCTTTCCGGCAGCAGCACGGGTTGCGACGACGACCTGCCTTATACGCAAACTCTCGGAGGTCCGCGCGCATCTCTTGGATCGGCGCTGGACCCCCCTCCCTGGCGCGCAGAGCGCGCCAGGGAGGGTGCCAGAGGCGCCGCTGGGGGGGGCCCAGCGCCGATCTCAAAGAAATCCGCGCTGAGCTCCGAAAGCTTATCCTTATGTCGGGCGTGTCCCCCTACAGGGGGATTTTGCGCGGAAAATAACAAATGCTCAAAAGATACCCCCAAAATAAGGAAAAGTGGTCAAAAAATAGTCCCCGGACTATGTTTTGACTATTCTTGAAGATTCTCCTGTAGAGGGACAGGCCCGACTTAAGCTTATACTTATGCCGCGTTCTCTCCTTCAACACCTGCAGCTCCTTCCTCACAACCTCCTGCGTGATGAGATGTGCCGTCGACCGGGGCGTCAAGCCCCGACCCCCGACGCCGTGCTTCGTTGTCGTGGCGTGGACCCCCAAAAGTCTGGACCCCTTCCTGGGGACCGGCGTTTCGTCCCGAGCCGTTTTTCGCTGGCAGGGGCCTGCAGAGGCGGCAAATAGCGAAAAACCTCCCGCCGTGATTCTTCCCAACCCTTCCCTGGTCGGACTCTCGTTTTGAGTGCAGCTCTGCTCGCGCAACCTCCCGCCCAGTCTCTCACCCCCTGCTGCTGCCTCCTGGATTCTTGCCTCCCTCGCTCGCACCTTTCCTACTGAGGGGGCTGCCACCGGCGCAGCTGTCGCCACGCTCGTGGGCTCCCTGGGAGGTCCAGCGGCGTGGGGTGCCGCGCAGATCCAGCCGAAACCCTCGCGGCTCCCCGGGTGCGGCGGCGAAGTGCGCAACTGCCGCCGCGCTCGTGGGCTCCCTGGGAGGTCCGGCCCACGCAGATCCAGCCGAGCCCTCGCGGCTCCCCGGGTGCGGCAGCGAAGTGCGCAACTGCCGCCGCGCTCGTGGGCTCCTGGGAGGTCCGGCGGAGTGGGGGGGCCGCGCGGATCCAGCCGAGCCCTCGCGGGCCCCTGCGCACGGCGGGGTGCTCCTGCGCGCGAGGGTCCTTCAACATGCTGGTTCATATCGAGCGGTCCAGGGCATGGCTCCCACATGTTCAGAGAGGGTTGGGCACGTCGCAGGGTACTTTTTACGACGCGAGGCAGGAGGGCCCAGAATCGAATCGAGCAGTCACGTTGACGATCGACGTGAATCGGATCGGCGAAAATCGGCAGCCGAGTCGGGAGGAGATGAATCGGCGGAGGGCGGAACGCCAGTGAGGCTTCATTGACGAGAAGCCGAAATCCAGACCGGAATCCGAAGTCGGACCAGATCGGAACCGAATTCGAATTCGAATCGAACTCGAATCGAATCCAATCGAATCGAACCCGAGAAGTCGAAACGAGCCCTGCGAGGGGGCCTGGGACTCCCTGCCACGAGCTGCTGCCGCCAACCAGGCGACGAGGGCAGCCTCGCCTGGCGCAGCGGCGACGCAGACGACGGCCCCGCCCGCGCGCTCCCGCGCCGCGGCCCACGGCGGGCTCCCGCACCTGTCTTGGCTAGGGGGCCAGATGCGAGCCCTACCCCTGCCCCCAACGATTTTCTGAGGGGCAGGGGGGGGCTCACCTCGCTCGGGAGCTCCCGGGCGAGGTGAACCCCACCCTCCCCCTCAGAAATCGTTGGGGGCAGGGGTAGGGCTCGCATCTGGCTCCCTATTGGCACAGCGCGCGGCGCCATCGCGGGGAGGGTGGGCACCGGGGAGCACCGGAGAGCACCGGGGCCTCCGGCTGCCGTCGTGTGGGTCGCAGGAACGGCCGGCTGGGCCACTGGGCTCCCTCCCACAGCGCCGTGCGGTCTGTCTCTCCCGGCCCGCGTCCTCCTCCGATTTGCTCCTTTCCTGCCGCACCCCTCCTCGCTGTCACGCTTTGAGAGGAACCGCTGGCATCAGGGACCCCATCGCCGATTGATCTTTTCAGTCCGTCAGCCCCGGTGCTCTCCAGGGCCGCCTTGTTAATCTCCGATCGTTCCCTGATGGCCCCGAGGCCCGACAGCTGCCCCCCTCGAGGAAACGCAAGGATTGAACCAATCCTCCCGAAGTCTTCTTGGGCTGTTTTCGGGTTATCTGGGAAGCCCCTGGGGCCGGGGGGTGGAGAAGGACGAAGGGGGGGGGGGGCCACGCCGAAGTTCTCGAACTTTACCAGCAGCGTCAGCGCCAGGAGGAGGGAGGGGCGAGGAGGGAGGGAAGGAAAGGGGAAGGAGCGAGGGGAAGGGGGAAAGATGGGATGAAGATGGGAGGAGGGAGGGGAGATCCCGAGAGAGGAGTACGGGAGAAGGAGGAGGAGGAGAAGGGGGAGGAGGGACGAGGAGAATGAGGAAGAGGAGGAGGAGGAGCAGGAGGAGGAGGAGGAGGAGGAGGAGCAGGAGGAGGAGGAGAGGAGGGAGAAAGGAAAGGAGGAAGAGGACAAGGAGGAGGAGGAGGAGGAGGGGGAAAAAGAGGGGGGGAGAGGGGGAGGGAGGAGGAGGAGGAGGAGGAGGAGGAGGAGGAGGTGGAGGAGAAGGAGGAGGAGGGAGGAGAAGAGAGAAGGGGAGGAGGAAGAAGAGGAGAAGGAGGAGAGGAAGAGGAGGAGGAGGAGGACGGAGGAGGAGGAGGAGGAGGAAGAGGAGGAGGGGGAGGAGGGGGAGGAGGGGGAGGAAGAGTTAAAGTACCCTGAAAAGAGGAAGAGACGAGGGCAAGCGGGCACGACGCGAGAAGAGGAAAGATGTCCCGCCCGAGTCCGCCGCCCTCTACTTCCAAGGAGGGGGAGGAAGAGGAGGAGGAGGAGGAGAAGGAGGAGGAGGTCAAAGGGGCCTCAGGCCAGCCTGGACGCCTCTGGTGGCCAGCCTCTGGGGCCCTGCACAAGGCCTCCGAGACTCTGTCGCGGGACGAAGCACGGGGAAGGAGCGAGGAGGAGGGGCCCACGGCCCCGGCGGGGAGAGGTAGAAAGAGGGTGGAGGACGAAGAGCAACGAGCGAGGGTGAAAGGCGCACTTTTCAGTACGCGGTAGACGAAAGAGCCAAACGATGTGTCAGGCGACGGGAAAAACTGGCACGGAAGCTCGGTCAGCTTCCGTGCCTCCAAGCAGGAATCGCAGCGGACAGGGGAGACTATTAAGGCAAGTGGCAAAAGGGACAATATGCAAAGGTACCGTTCGAATCTGGTGTTCAAACGACACTGTTCGTGCCTCGCCGGCTCAGGTGCGCAAACCACCCCCAAACCAGCGAACCACAAGAGCTTGCTAAACACAGAGGACCTTCTACTGACCAGGTCCCTAATGCAACGTTGCGTTTGTGAACGAGCCTTCTGCTGACCAGGGCTTTCATTCAAAACTTGCGACGCAGAAGATCATTGGATGGAGCACGCGATCAGTCACTGGCATGCTCTATTGTCCGAAACCTGTTGCACCACGAACATCGCTCGCGGGTGCAACCCGTTCACTTGGCATGGCATGCTTGCCGCGCCGCATTCGCGAACACGGTTCGCGAGATGCGAGCCTCTATGTGTGTAGATAAAACCATATGCATATACAGATACCGCTCGTGGCTCGCTCCGGTTCAATCTAACTATCGGGAGCTGGCGGCAGCCTGCTCATAAGTTCTCGTGGACGATGTTCCTTGTAGTTTAAGGCCACAGAAATGCCCGCCAGAAGGGGGAGATGTTGAAGCTGCACCGTTCGAGCGCCTCCAACGCTGGCAGCCCCAACAACGCGGGGCGAAACCGCCGCAAGGGCAGCAATCGGGGGTGAACGCGGACGAGAGGGATGCCGTCACATCCTGACAGCTCTTATTCTGCACGACCCATATACATACACATATACATATACATGTACATGAACATATACATATACATACACATATGCCTATACCTATACATATACACGTGCACATGCAAATACATAGACATATGCATATATATATATATATATGTATATACACATACATACACACAGACATATATATATATATATATATATATGTATGTATGTGTACACATACCGATATGCCTATACATGAACACACATATATAAACATATACCTAGGCAGATGCATACATCTATACATCAACATCAACATACGCATGTGCTCCCACGCCGCTGCTGTTCGCAATGCGGGGCGGGCCGTCGACTTAGTCGCACTGGTCGCCCTTCTCTTTGGTACGTTCGCTATGACGGGCATTCGGCACTGTCCTCTTGTGTCGGTCCTCACTCAGCCTGACCGCTGAGTGTTTGTATCTGAGCTTTCCGTCCATGATATCGAGGATGAGCTCGCGGCCGATGCTACCCATGATCAAGGGGTCGGCCCTCGTGTTTCAGACATCGCACCAGAGCACGTCGGATTTCTGCTTAGGGCGAAGCCGGTCCGATGACCACCACAGGCGGCCTGCCATACTGATCTCCGAAGGCGGGCGAGCAAGGCCCATGGCCACGGCGGTGAGGACGGACATGCCGTCCACGAGCAGCTCGGCCAGCAGGGCGTAACCTCCTTCTCCCCTCAGTCCCCTGATCGCCGCTGCTGATGCGGGGCCGCACACCATCTCGTGGAGCGCCAGGAGGCGCGCCTGTAGGCCATGAGTTGCACCGCAGGCTGCGAGAAGCTCCGAGCCGCAGGATGATCGACACACAACGTTGTGCGATCGGCCCACGGTGTCGAGCAAGTTAATCACCACTACTGCGACAAATGCCCAGACGCATGTATACGACGCTTCGCTTGCCGCACCATGTCTCCTCCTCGCGCTCGAACGAGCCGTGACTGTGCACGCAGAGTCGGCCAGCGCACCCCATCGCCGGGAAGGCGTCGCGCGCCTTGATCTATGGCCAGAATGACGGAATCGAGCTGCATCGCGTGCCTGATGAGCAGCTTGCGTTTGGCCCTCTCCTGCGCGACACTTTAGATGGAAACGTAGCGTTTCGCGAGCAGAGCGCAGGCTGTTGCTCTGAGGAAGGAGGCGAAACGGTCTGAAAACTGACCTCCGGCCTGCCCAGGTCGACGCGCCCGATAGGAATCTGGACATCGACGTACTCGTCGCGGTCGAGCGCCACGGCGCCATCGGCACTGCGGAGTTGGCGGGCCCCACAATGTGTGAAGTCGCGTAATCACCCTTGCTTTTGCCGAAGACGCTCTCGACGTGGCCGATGAGTCGGTCGACGTGCTCCTTGCGTCCTGCGATCTTGAGGTCGTCAACTTGCATGGGCAGCATGAGCCCCAGCTCCGAGCCGCCGGCGCCGTGAGTGCTGGACGCCGCGTGTTTGACCTCGAACCCAGGGCCCCGCCGCGTCGGCTTGGCGCTGCACTCAAGGGAGCGCGCAATCCCGGCGAGGTTCATGGAGAACTCTCCGGGCGCATCCTTGCAGCCATTGCCGGGCCTGACGCAGCGCAGGCACTCGGTCCGTTCTTGGAAAAACTCGCCGCCTGGAACCTGCCTGAGGATGGCAGCACTGCTGGGCGGCAGGGTGAAGTTCAAATGTCGCTGTGCTTCGCCCTGCTCCTGCACCTCGGCGTAGATCATGCCCTGCATGAAAGCCCCCATCCACGTCCACGGCGACGCACGCCCAGTCTAGGCGACAAGCCGCCTGCGAGGACAGAATGCGCGGGGACGCCCGCTTCGCCGCGCCGGCGAACGTCTCCAAGACTCCGGCGCCCATGTCGCGAGAGTCTCTCATCGCCATGCGGCGCCGGACGATCCCGACGGTCTTGCCGTCCGACCCCTTTCGGCGCATTCACTTGAACGCGCGTCTGGAAAACATGGCACTACGAACGCCACTGGGACGTCGTCGCCCGAAGCACTTGCACTGGACCAAGACCGCGAGCTCCTTGGGGACGGCTGCTAACACCTCTTGGGACAGCCTCGACACTTCCTCTGTGGATAGGACGCCCGCGTCGCGCATGATGACAGCCGCAACGTCGGCGCACGAGCTTCAAGCATGGCTGTCGCGGAGAAGCCAGCAGCATAGTTGCCAGACGGCTCCTCGTCACAGCTCAAGAGTGCTTCTCGCATACTGGGGTCCAAGTACAACTCCACGCGGTACACTCCGTCATCCTCCTCCAGATTGGCGCAGTGGTCAAAGGGGGCGCCGCGTAGGTAATATGCGCGTAGATGTACTGACGCCGGTGCCGCCTCTCCAGGTGCCGGGGCCTCTCGCGTGGCCTGCGGCACATGCTGGCGGCCGCATGCTCGACAGCAGCGCAGACCTTCTGCCGGCAGTCGGTGCCCCCCAGCCCCTGCAGCTCCTGGGCCAGATCCTGCGCCCCCTCCCCCCAAAAAAAACGAGCTGCTAAGCTGCCAACATCACCTGCTGGATGTGGCCGGAGAAGTCGCCGCCGGCCTCTTCGGGCATGACGGACAGGGCTGATGGTGAACCTCCCTCGGCGAAACTGGCGGCGTCCTTGGGGGCGCCGATGACGTAGTCATCGAACGCCCCATCTTGGCCCCGACTGACGTCTGCTGCCATTAGTCGTCGCCAAAGATGAACTGGATGATGCGAGAGCCCTCCCGCATCTCGCCGATTAAGCTATG